TCTATGTTGTACTTCCATTGTACTTTCATTTTCTGTATCTCCAAGACTTGAGTATAGTATTCATATTGTTCTCTCTTAACCGCTTTCATGGGAATACTGTGCCCTCACAATCTTAATTAGAGACATGAGCCACTTTAACATAAACAGTTTTCCTGTTTGTCCTTCTGTTGTTCCAACCATTCCCCTCTGTAATTGTTTCCTGAATTAAATTGTTAATCCTGAACATCCACAAAAAATATCAAGTTTACCGAGTAGCACTCAGGTGAACACACTGTCAGATATATAACAGTCAAGACCATGAGTAGATAAGAAATTTATAGCCACAAATACCATGGTTACATAGACCGGGGAGATGTGAAGGCAATGACAGACTGAAAGACAATGGGAGAATGAATGAATGACAGAATGATTATTGGGGAACAATACAAGTCTCGCGACATTCTCGTTCTCTATGAGATCACATGCTCCAAGAGATTTTGTTGAGCAAGCAGACTACGAGACATGTTTTCACTTCACAAATGTGAATAGTTTTCTATTCTCTTACGTCATCTCGTCTGTGTAATGTTTTTACGTAATGATCCTGAATAGATTTTTAGATTCTACTATCGTTTTGACATGACGTTCATATCCTGTAACACAGTCACGTATGATATATTACGTTAGAATAACGTTTTGTGTGTGTGTTTTTTTTCAGCCGAGAATAATAAAACGAGGTAAGAAGCCAACATTTGAAACACAACACTACATACATGTCGACGTATGATGTTTGCCCGTCGCTCATTATTGATTTAAGTGTTCATTTGTTGTCTGGGTGTTTCATTTCCTTCAATAAAGATGTAGCTTTTAATGGTATTTCAATCATTGCGACATTGTGTCGACGTTCTTTGACGATGACTACACGAACATGGCATGTTGTGAATGACTAAAGACTGTCAGCTCATCTGACGTTTAATATAACAATTAGTGCCACGTGGATTGATTGATGGCGTTCTCTATAATTATACAAATATTGAACCCCAGTCACTGACATTATTTCAAATGGAACACCAATTGCATTTTTCTGAGTGAATGTTATTATTTCCTAGTTGTTTACTTTTCAAAATACTATGATATTAATCAACTGACGGACTATTCCACTCTGTCTACAGGGGCCGCAAGTTACAATTCGTGGTGCGATGAAAATTATTCTGGGAAATACACGCATGCGTGTGCTGATCTAAGTACCTGTATAAAAGGGTCATCTGTTTGTGACGGAAAAAAGAATTGTGACGACGGAAGTGACGAACAAGGCTGTGGTAAGTTTTTCTGCCAACTGTACGTTGAACTCGAAGATCTTAATTTATATTTTTAACGTATTCATTGACCCATTTCGATCCTAGCAAATTATCAATACGATGATTTATAATAATACTAATATAAAGTTAACACGTATAAAACATGACTAGGGTGCAGACTGGTGCAAATTCTCTTCGCGCATTAACGGGTACTGCGATTTGGAATAATGGACGATTTTCTGTGTTGTAACTGTTGTTATTTCTACTTCATGGCTTCATTATTTATTCATGAGATTATTGTAAAAATGATTTCCAACTTGATTTTATCCTCTCAGATCAAGGGAAACTTGATTTTATCATCTCAGATTGAGGGAAACTTGATTCTATCCTCTCAGATTTAGGGAAACTTGATTCTATCATCTCAGATTGAGGGAAACTTGATTCTATCATCTCAGATTGAGGGAAACTTGATTCTATCCTCTCAGATTGAGGGAAACTTGATTCTATCATCTCAGATTGAGGGAAACTTGATTTTATCATCTCAGATTGAGGGAAACTTGATTCTATCATCTCAGATTGAGGGAAACTTGATTCTATCATCATTGAACTTGATTTTATCATCTCAGATTGAGGGAAACTTGATTTTATCATCTCAGATTGAGGGAAACTATCATATTGAATGTAGGGTATATGTTGCGTCTATATGAGAAAGGGGTTCGAATATACATGATACACTACAGCAATATTTTCCTGCCTGATTCCACTCTGTTCACCATTTATCAGGATCTTCAAACACTTTAAATTTACTGTGGCAGGATAACGAACATCACATAGGTACACTGTACGTTTTTTGTTTCACAGGAGGTGGTGGAAACAAGCCTTCCGGTGGCGGCGGAGGTGGTGACGGTAAGTTTCCAGCGAAATGTCTGAGTAATGAATGTTTTCATAACGCAAAGTACTTACATAGTCAACACAAAATTATTATCGATACGATTAATTAAATTAATTAAATTCATGTTCGTCTGTATAGAAAAAGTAAAGGCAAAGTATGTACTAAAATTTGTCAATTTCAGGACCAAAGGCGACATACAGTGACATGTGTTCGTGGTACCCAGACTCTCCATATGGCTGTGCTGATGGTAGTGGTATTTGTATGCGGGAAAGCAACCTCTGCGATGGATTTAAACAATGCGATGACAACAGTGATGAAAATGGATGTGGTAGGGATTGTTCGTTTTTATCCTTTCTCTTGATTTTTCTGCAAAAATGTGAAAATATACAGCGCAATCGATCGACTGAATATTGCAATTGCAGAAATACGTTGTGCGTTTCTTTATTTGCGTGTTTCCTAAGAAAGCAATTATATCAATTTTCAATGAAACACAAGTGAAAATAAAATGAGAGCTTGTTTGTTGTAATGATTCATATGTGGCATTTGCAATAAGCATGAGACACTGCTGGACACCGTGACATTACATAACACGCTCAGCAGCATGCGGTTCGTTAAAACTATTCATGTTTGTAATTTATGACAACCGGGGAAATAAACTATGACTTCAGTGAACACACAACGTCACGTTTATATCGGTAGAGTTGTACCCAACAATAGGATATTGTGTTGAGAATGAAATCTGTGAAATAAAGTTTGTATATGTATAGCATATTACGAGAGCGCAGTAACCCCAAAAACATTTGTAATAGAACTATGAATCGAGGGCAAAGGGCAAAGGCAAGTCACTAAATTCAATAATCATCCATATTGTGATAGTGTGTCCAATCAGAAAATGGATTTACTTTGCGTCGTTTACTTCTCTGCTACTGTCATGGAATACTGTATATGTCATGTCAGCGGTGTGCGTGAGCAAATGTTCAACGAAACGGTCCCCGGCGTTGAAAAGTTTTTTAAAATGCGTTGAAAATCCTCTCCTATTTTCCTTGGTTCGATTGATTGTAATGTTTTCTGCTACCATCCAATATATTTTGAAAAAAAATGAAGACGCTTCTTTCACATATGCATTTCCATATGTGTGAGCAACCAGAAAAATATCATCTCTATCGTGGTGTTTTACTTTAGGTTGGGGCGAGTCTGACTCCAATGGTTGTACCAAACCCGTACAAGTTGGTAACAGTGGCCGCAAGGAATTGATGAATCAGATGCTGGAAGCTCATAACTACTTCCGGTGTTTACACGGAGTTACGGCAATGACCTATGACAACAAACTAGCTGATTTCGCCAGGTAGCAATACGATAACTTTCTCATACCATTCATTCATAGTCAATTTGTGATATAACTATAATGTTTTGCGACTAAAAAAATATAGGATGGATTTTCATGATAAATATCATTTGTTTTGAGAACTGATCTTTGAGAGCTATATAAATCATTGACCGGATGGACAACACAATTAATGGGCGTTTCATAAGTATTGTTTGGAGCATATAATTCGCTGATGTTGATGAATGACAATGATATATATATATATATATATATTTTACAAGACAAGCCATTTATAGATTATGTATGGTGAAACATTCCACTTCAGTGAATCCCCCTTTCAAAGCGCGCATGTTTTACTCTAAATTTTTGGCTGTACTTTGCACCATGGTAAATATACCACCATACTAAAATAAAAGTTTGTTATCCTGGGATCATACACGCTGTGGATTATTTGCGTATATGCAATCATGTTCGCACTACTTTTTGATGGGGTGCATTGATGTATACAAATAATACATGTTCTCAGACCATGACATATTATTCTATAGCATATATTCCATGTTTTTTGTTGCTTAGCTACGTAGCCAGTGACAACGCAGCACGTAACATGATCCACCACGCTGACAACAACGACTACGGAGAAAACATTGCAATGAACCAGGTGGAAAAAGAAAGCCAACTAACTGGTATGTTCTAATTCAAATATGTAGCGCTTTATTCTGATAGTCGTCATAAAAAATCTCTAAATTGATATTTGTCGTTGTTACCAAAATTAGTTCATTATGTGGATTATGTGTTTAATATATAATCTCCACGAAATATTCAATGACTTCGCTCATCGCGGAATTTATCTTACTTATCCAAAACATGTTTATTGACCAATGATCACTGATTATAACAACAGGGTCGCCATCCGCAGTGTTATTTTATTTACATTACGTGATCACTTCGTCACTAGAGTACACGATTTAATAGAATGATGTAATGCGTAATCATTTTGTTGATTGCTAAGAAAATTTGTACATAAATGACATTGACAGAAAGTTGTATAAACCATGGGATAAAATGTCAAAGAAATAAACGTGTATCGGCTGTTGAAATTTTGTCATTGGTATGTAAATGATTCTGCACATTACATGTGTACGCACCGTATGAACCGCATGAACGTTTTGCATTACTAGTACGTACATGTGTATATGGTGCGTTTATACGGGTTTCATTGTTTCATTTATTTTTCTGCAGAACCAACGTTTTTATTTTACCGTAAATTATACTCTTTTGTTTTTATGCATGGCGATACGACAAAATAAAACGTATTTAATATTTTTCTTATTGCTTCTTTAACTAAAGGTGTAAATATCGCGAAGTAATTCATACGTGTGGCGGGACTCTGAAGTTTCGCTGACGTACTGCCGAAGGTTTCCGACTACTGTCGAAGTGCCGATTACCGAACATAAAATCATTCACTTTCAATTAAATGAATGCTGCTTTTCTTTGTTTCGTTCCTTCGCAATAGGTTATGGATTTGTTAAGATGTGGTACGATGAGATTGGGATGTATGACTTCGGAAATCCAAGATTTGATGGATCCACAGGTGAATATACTTAAAATAAATCAGTCAGTGCAGTTAGCTGACTATAGTGTAAGTAATAATTGCGTAGCTACGGAACGCTGAAGGGTGTAAGATACACGTCAACATGTCAAAAGAGAAATAAAAAATGTTGAGAATAATGGTTAAACAATCAACTTTGGTGCCACCAGTAGATAAATGTGATTCTCTGAATATCACTACTTCAACGTCATTGCTGAATAGGCGTGCTTATTTGATTCTAAGCTCAAATGTCGTACTCATATTTATCTATTAAACACTCTGTTATTGATCCATTTACAGGTCATTTCACTCAGGTTGTGTGGAAAGAATCCAAAAAGCTTGGATGCGGTCTCGACCAGAGCGGCAGCGGTATGTTTACTTCATACTGGATGGTATGTGAATACGATCCACGTGGAAACTGGATGGACAACATGGGACCCAATGTCCCGTCACCGATTTAACTATGCACGTGGAGAAAAATCGAACTTCCCAACATTTTGCATGATTAGCTGAGATTTGCATATTAGTACATGTGTATTTGTTTCGTTATTCATAATACTCGACTACTAAATCTTGTGATACTGTAAGAGAATCGAAACAACTTTTTATAATGTCATTTATTAACCTGATTGTCATTTTGCAGTTTAAAATATTGTCTGCAATGTTTAAAACCTCGAAGTTTTAAAACAAAATTGTACAATGAACACGACCATTTTATGAGCCAACACGATTATTGAAACATAAATAGTCAGATAGTCAGTATTATCATGCGTACATTTTGGATATATATATATATTATTAAATGTTTTCACGGAAATTGTCAAGTGTGTGTGTGTTTATTGTTTATCGTCTCCACTGATAATAATCACATACTATTACCACTGCCATTCTCACATACAACGGAGTGAACACTATGGAAGTAACGATAGTTCTTATCTTGAACTGTCACTGTTGTCTATATGTCAGATTGAAGCTTTAGTTCAGTTGTTTCTTGGATGAAACTAGGATGATATTCCCAAGATCTCATTAAATTCAAAGACGTGTGGCTGTTGATTTTTATGAAAAATCTGTGAAAATGCGATGGGCAGATTTAAGTCAAAATATGTCATGTATACATCATGCCCACATAACTCACACCAGGGATGTAACATAGGCCTGGATCATCTCCCGGATGGCTTATGACTCCTGCTTTTGACTTGTTTCGAGGAATCCCCGAATGACACACACTGCCAGTGTTTCCAACCCTTGTGGTGACCACGTCTTAACATTTGGTTTTTATTCACTTTGCCTCAAATGAGAAATATTTGCTAGCCAAAGTATTAAAAAAAATGTCTAATCTTTTGAACTGAAAAAATGAAATAACCAATACGGACTATGGAAAAATATCAATAATACTATTTTGAATAGAAGCAATAATCGGCTTAGGCCATTAGGCTGTCGAACCCACGTGGTTATGAATATGATTACTATGATTAGTATATTGGTAATTATGTTTTCATTAAATGTTGTTTATAGCATACTTGTATCTATATTGATTTGCTAGTAATCACCTGTATTCATATTATGATGTCACATGGTAGTCCATTCATAGTAAACTTTTGTAAAAGAAAATAGTACACCATGGCTTGAATTCTATGTCATACTATGCTCAGTATCATATCATAAAAATGTATGGTTGCCATAAGTACGATGTCATGAAAAAATGTACATCCAATCAGGAAGGAAATCTGTTTATTAGATAAAAATATATTTGTTAAAAACTTATTTTCACCAACTTAGGGGTCAGTTTCAAGATTTATCCAATTATTCCCACTATTTAAGAAGGTTCGAATCGAATTGAAGATCATGTCATACATTTTGTTTCTATAATTTGTGGTCATTGTTCAGCATTTACTAAGAAAGTACACTTTCTGTGTTCATCAACAGTGTCTGTTTACTATGAGAGGACTGCTATTCCGAACTCGGTTATTTGATTCAAGTGGAGAGCAAAATTTTTTTTCACTTATTTGAAACTGGAGCAATTTTTTCGAGCAGCAATATCCCAGATTATCTTCCATCTGTGGAATTGATGTAATATACCAACATAATCTTAGCATAAGAAATCTTTGTATTTTTTAGCAATTTAGTATTTTACTTTGATTTTGATTTTGTGATTTTCTTTAATTCCGCCCTACATACATCTGACCCGATGCCTATGTAACGAGATTTTAACGAGACCCACTATGGACGATTTTAATCAACGAATCACATACCTCCTTCTATAGTGCACATGATGACGTCACCGGGCAGATTCAGGTGGCAAACACACTCAAACAAAATGGCGGATTATACCGACGTTAGCGACAGAAAAAAACACGGCTTTTCGGTAAGTTTATCATTGTCAAATGCAACGAAAGTCATTTTTTGTGTGTTTATGTTGTAGCTCGAATGGTTTGAGTTTAGATCGTTATTTTGCGTAGTTATTCTGGGAGTGACGATTTTGTTCCCACCGGTTCGACCGAACACCGGTGTCTTTTTCCAGTCGCTTGCCCTGGAGACGGGTGATGTTTTGTTGACGATCGGGCCAAAATCGTCTACAGTTTTGAAGCCGTAGCTGTAAATATTCATCAAAATGTATCAACATTTTGTACATTATACAATAACTCTTTATTAAAGTAATTGAGCTGATTTGGACTGGAATAAAATATTTTTTATTTGGAACACATCGCAATTGATCAGGAAATATTTTTTGCTCCAATTTTCTGCGTCGATGTTGTGGGCCGGTGACCGTTATACAATTTAAAATCAGTTTGCATTGTTTACTATAGCTGCTTACAGTGTTTTAATCATTACAATTTACTTATTTTTTTGCATATGGTACATTTCATTTCAATAAATTGTCAGTATATGTCTTAACTTGTGAGGGCGGTGCTGCTATCTGTGCTGCCAGGATTTCAAACCCTACACTTCGCAAATTAAATCTTATTAATTCTTTAAATCTATTAGGCAATTATGTGATAATGATCTTAAAAAATGATCTTAGAAGATACTAGTTACCAATATAAACAATTTAACTTTAAAATGTTTTACTGATTTGAATATATGCCTGTCATGTGTGTGTTTGTTGTTCTCGTCTTGTTGTTTTTTCATGACTTGGACATGTAGTTTCACTTCACGTGTGGCTAATTTGAGACTAGTGTTATCTTTACATTTACATAAAAATGAATGATTCGACTTCGACTGAATTAACATTTGATACTATTCTGTCGGAATATTGCATTGTATTCTGATGATAAAAAATATTGCATACAACATTAATTTTTCTCAGTGAAAAGGAATACAAGATCTAAACAACTGTAAATGAACAATCTCTTCATTTATTACAACTTAAAGCGTTTTCCAGTTGGATTTTGCAAAAGAGGTAGGTTATCGTAATGTGCCCTCAGATAGATATTAGCTATAAATACGCTAATAGATCACAGTCTAACTATTATTCGAAATATAATTAATTTAAAACACTTGTTTTAAAACTTTCCAAACCTAGAAACTCAGTCGATCATCAGACAATGTATATCTGACTGTTCGTTGAGTTTGTGATTCAACTGACAACTGGCATGCAATACTGCGCCTTCGCCGCTGCCCTAAGATATTGAATTGCCAGGCCATCGGGGATGGCGCAGTAAGACATGCCGATTATACCCGGCAAATATATTATCTACCTTTCCCCACCGTCGTAAAACCACAGCGTCTTAACGGCGCTTAAGTGTTGTTTACAACGCATCACATCAAAACACTATAGCGGCAAAAGTTTAAATTTCATCATTGTTTATGAAACAATCGTGGATACCATATTCTAATACACACTTCCCGTGAGACAATATCATTCTTATCGTGATTTTTTTGCTTTGGGTTGGGTTGAGTCCCAATCATGGTTACATCAAACCTGTGCAAGTTTACATCAAACACTAAACTGTGGCCTAGATGAATTGGCAAACAAAACAACTAGTTTCGGTGTCTGCACGGAGGCCAGAAATGACATATGACAAAGTAGCTGAATTTGCTAGGTAGAAACAAATGTATTACACTGAAACAAATACACTAATCAGGTGCAGCCAACGAGCAGTAAATTAAAATAGTCAATTCACTGGGACAAAATTTATTTTATGGGCTTTTTGAAATATGCTAAGTAATAAAAAGGAAAGAGGGGAAATTAAAAGCTGTTCATAAGCTACCCTCCACCTGATAAAAATTGTCTTCCCCTCCTGCCCTCATTAAAAAAAAAACACTTTTTTGCCTACTTCCCTACTACCAACTTGCCTTTCTTGTCCTCCTGCTGACCAAATTCATCTTTCCCCTCCCCTAATTAAAAAAACACTTTTTTGCCTACTCCCCTTCTGACGACTTGCCCTCCTGCTGAATCCTGGGTGAATATTCACAGTGGCAGAACCTACATTGCTGTGCCGATTGGTGGCGTAATTCATTGAGTCATCATGTTTTTGAATATATTAACCACGCAGATCAGGGTTGACACGCATTTTCAGTTATTGATAGCACACGGCTGCCCACATTTAGCAGATGTTATTTCCCCTAATGCGTTTTTTTATTATGTCCTGCCCTAAAGGCTGTTTTGTCCACCCTGCGATATTTTTTTTATGTAAGTACCCTACCCACTAAAAAAAGTTTCCCTGTTCTTGCATTTTTTAAGAAATCCGCCCTGCCCACTGGGGGGTACTGATATTTCCCGCCCTCTACAAAAATAGAAAAAATCTCTTGCCCTAAACAAACATCCCTTGGAACAGCTTTTCCGATGAACAGCTCCATTGGCTGCACCTGACTAATAGGGTGATACGCTACATTATTTTAATCGCAGAAATTCGAGGTAGGTTATCGTGGTCTGCATGAGCGACGCGCCAAATTTCACATCGCCAACTTCATATAAGAGCTCCCCCACACGCTCATTCCCAGCGTTTACAACACAATGTCAAATGTTTTCTTGTTGCTAAAATACGTGTCTAGCGATAACACAGCACATCCACCATGCTGACAACAACGAGAGAGAGAACATTGATATGAGCCAGGCAGAAAATAATGACAATTAACCAGTATGTTTCTATATGTATTATGTATATGTAATATGTAGTAGTATTTTTTTGTAAACTTTCTCATATGTTCACATTAGGTCTCATGTAACCAGTATCGATGTTAAAGTTTGTTTTAAATGTAATGCAATATTATTATTTCTGAGTTTGCGTCTCTCCTGCGCGAGCTAAAGTGTGTTTATATTTTACATGCCACTTGTGTGGTCAAATTAACACTTTCTATAATTTACACATTTCATTATATCAGCGTTGTATAGATTTACTAATAAATGAGAAAACGTAATTATAGAACGCAGAGAGAACACGTCAAAGTCAAAACATGTGTGCAGTTGAGAATGTGATTACGAGGATACCGAAAAGTATGCACGAAGACAGTACAGCGTAGTATATCGACCGACGCGCAGCAGACACCCCCCCCCCCCCAATGATACATCTTGAGATTGCCGAAATTGCAAAAGTTTAGAACAGAGTCAGCGAACCTCTTTGTGTGGAGACCGGTCAAATTCTGGTAGCAGCCGTGTTTATTTTATTATTAGAAGTCGCTTACGCGCGTAATCGTTCCATATTTGGATTTCGCATTTCCTAATATTGTAGGATGAAAATACCCCGTAAAATACCGCAAAATTACTGCACGCTGTAACTCATGGCGTTACGGTGACAGATGTATAAGAATACATTGTAATGCTCAGGCAATCAATCGTGAGTCCACATATCACCAGCAGATTAATGTGATAAA